GGTTGGTTAGCCTGTTTGCACAGAAGCTTGTGATGGGGCAGGGCAGGACTTCTCTCCTACCATTGTATGGTTTGAGTAGCTTCTGAAAAAATTTTTGAAGTTACTTAAGAGAAAAAAAGAATTATGTAGCTTTTTGGGGGGGCCTGGGTTACATGGACTGGAAGCTGCTTTCTGGTGGCAGATGTGGCTCTGAAGCTGTGCCAGTTCTTGGCTATAAGATTGTTGAGGTACTGCTCCCTTTTTGCTGAGGGGTGATCCTTTACCACAAAGCAGGAGATACTGTTTGGTTCATTATGACAAAGGGATTTTTTTTTAAAGGGAATACCAAGTTGTTGGGGAATTCTGTTTTATCTGTGATTCTTTTTTCCTCACAGATGTTAGATCCAAGTCCTATTGGAAGTGGTCTAGAGAGCACAGTTTCAAAGGAGAGTGCAGTGGTACCAGAAGGAGGAATTCACCATTCAGTGAGCCTTGGCAATGAGTCAGAAGTTGTGCTAGGTACAGCAGTGGGTATAAAAGTGTGCTCTGGGCCTCTGGTGCAAAAGTATGCTCTGAGGCCTGTGGGCTGGTGATAAGTCAATATGTTGGTGAAAATTTAAAAATATAAAGTATACAGCTGGGCATAGTGGCTCATGCCTGTAATCTCAGCACTTTGGGAGGCCGAGGCAGGCAGATGGCTTGAGTCCAGGAATTTAAGGCCAGCCTGGGCAACATAGCGAGACCCTGTCTCTATTAAAAAAAAAACTACGATTATATACCAAGTGCAGGTACACATGGTAAGAGCTATAGGAATCCAGGGAGGATGATGAGGATGTCAGGCCCTCTATACAGCTATGAGGAATAGCTCTAGGAGGGTCTCCTCAACTGATTTGTTTTAGAAGGGCAAACATTTTGTAAATGGGACTCTTAGTCTATCCTTTGCCCCTGAGGAAACTGAGGCACCCAGTTGGAGTATATGTACATCTACCATTTCGATAATGCTGTAATAACATGTTTGCTTTGCTGACCATTTCATCACTCTTTAAGCTAGCCAAAATAATAGAAGGTAGAAGACTGTATATAGCAGCCACAATAGATACCATATTAAAATAGCATGACTCAACCTTTACATCGAGTTTTAAGAAATGTGCGTGTGTAGTTTCCAGCTTACGAGAACAGAAGAGCTGGCAAGCCTTGCCAGGAGAGCTTCTTGCTCATTGACAGGCAGTCCACTGCAGAACCTGACGTGGGCTGTGGGGACCTGAAAGAGGATGCTTAGGTGGACTGACGTGTCTTGAGGCCAGTTACCCCCGAGGATATCGCTGTTGCCACCCTGCAGAGATTGCAGTGGTGACCCAGATTCACCAGAGAAAAATCACTAAGTTATCTATGTGCCTCATTCCAAAAGGGAAGTCTGTTTACATTTAACAGACTTGTCATCAGAAATACTGTAGTTAAAATAATTTGGGGGGGCTTAGAGAAGTAAGTTGTATCTTGAAAAATGGTACCTTATTTCTTCACTCTCCTGGATAAATGAAGTGGCGAAATGAAAGGATGGTTTTCAAAAGGGACAGTTTGGTAAGGATTGCTGAGATTGAATCTCTTTTCTGCCATTTACCAAATAACTTTAGGTAAGTTACGCACTGCTCTTTATTTCAGCTGTAAAATGGGGATGATTCCTGGCTTGTAGGTTGCTTGTGAGACATAATTGGAAAAGCAGATGGCAGGTTCCGCCTGACATATTACTACTTCGTGGGAGTGGTTTTATTATTGCAAGTTCCAGAGCCCATTAAAACAGTGATTCATTTTGATAATGTTTATGAAACATCCTTTCATCAAAACCATTTATAATAATTTCACCCTGGCTGCATTCCTGAACTCTCATCCCTTCCCTGCCTTTCCACTTCCTGATGGTTCCCAATTCCAGTCAGTGTGGCTCTGATGCAAGCACTTCCCCCAGGGAGGACCCTCAGTGCTAGCCGTGGCAATGCGTTCTTCAGTTTTCTCCTGAGGACAGTGTTACCTCACAACAGGGCAGGGTGGTAGGTAGGAAGACATCGACGGAGATAAAGAGGAGAAAGTTTCACAGAATCCCATGACCGCCAGCTCGCTCGCTCTCTCACTCACTCTCATGTCTGCCGAGGAGATTTCAAACTATACCAGTTGTCCTAATGATTCTGAGCTTGTGAGGCAAGATCTGCCCAGAGGGTTTGGTCAGTGGAATATGGCAAGCGTGAGAGTCACCTGTGTGCTGGCTGCCTCAGGTGCTCCGCCCTAACAACAGCTCTGTGCAAGCTCTTTCCCTTCCCTGCCATCCTTTCACTTCCCCATTCCTCGAGAGCCAGGTGACACTACGTTTACTGTACATGTAGGGAAGTGGGGAGGGTGGAGTGTTAGACTCTGGTTGCATAGGAAATGTCACCTGAGAGCCAAAAGTTTGGGAGGGTGACATGATCCCTGCACTGGGAAGCAAAGGCATGTGCATCTGAGTTCCTTTTCTGACACTAGGTGCCAGAGTGGCTAGCCACTTAGAGGAAAGTGTATGGTTTCTGTATCTGGAAAAGGAGGTGGCTGAACTAGGTGATTTCTAAGGTCCCTTCTGGTAATGCATGTGATTTTCTTTTCTTTCTTTTTGAAATCGAGACAGAGTCTTGCTCTGTAGCCCAGGCTGGAGTACAGTGGTGCAAACATGACTCACTGCAGCCTTGACCTCTGGGCTCAAGTGATCTTCCTTCTTGAATCTCCTGAGTGACTGAGACCACAGGTGCACATCACTCTGCCTGGCTGGTTTTTAATTTTTTTGTAGAGACAGTGTTTCTCTGTGTTGCCCAGGCTGGTCTCGAACTCCTGGACTCAAGTGAGTTTCCCACCTCGGCCTCTCAAGGTGCATGAGCCACTGCGCCTGGCCATGATTTTCTTTACATTCAGTGTCAGTTCTGTTCTAGCCACATGATGTGTTAGCACTGGCGCCACTTGATAAAATCTGCGTTGGACTGCTTCGAGAGGCAGGTCAGAATGGATTATCTGTCACCATCTTAAATATGCTTTCTAGGGACAGTGATTTCTTTCTTTCTTTCTTTTTTTTTTTTTTCTGTAGAGATGGGGTTTCACCATGTTGACCAGGATGGTCTTGATCTCTTGACCTGGAGATTCATCTGCCTTGGCCTCCCAAAGTGCTGGGATTATAGGTGTGAGCCACTGTGCCCGGCTGGGACAGTGATTTCTATGCTTCCTTATTTTGTGGGTAGTGTCCCAGGATGTTGCCAATTATTTTAGGAGATTTTAAAAAAATTTCTAGAAATACTTTTTTTCTTTTTTTTTTTGACACAGAGTCTTGCTTTGTCACCCAGGCCGGAGTGCAGTGGCACAATCTTGGCTCACTGTAAACTCTGCCTCCTGGGTTCAAGTGATCTCCTGCTTCAGCCTCCCAAGTAACTGGGATTACAGGTGCCTGCCATCATGCCTGGCTAATTTTTGTATTTTTAGTAGGGATGGGGGTTTCACCATTTTGGCCAGGCTGGTCTCGAGCTCCTGACCTCAGGTGATCTGCCTGCTTTGGCCTCCCAAAGGGCTGGGATTACAGGTATGAGCCACCGCGCCTGGCAATCCTAGAAACACTTCAGAACAAAATTAATTTTAACTCCATTTTAAATTACTGAAAAATAAACCTGGTTTACTTTCTTTTTCCAGTCCGCTGCCTTAGTGATATGTCTTGGGTTCTGGCTGGTCCATTATTAACCAGCGTGTAATCCTAGCTCATTCTCTTCCGTTTTTTTGTGAATACTTTTACTATTAAGTTCTAAGTATTTTCCCACAGCCTGTAGGGGGATATTAGCCTCTGCTGAGATTTACCATTCTGATAATAGTTCTCCCAGCAGGTACCTTTTGTAGCAAGCTAAGCCTTCCTACCTTGAAGTACCCCTATTTAACCTTGCAATAGAAAGGTCAGCTCCTGTCATCTTGCATATGCATGCTGCTTTTCTAGTAATTTCAGTGCACAAAATCCTGAATAGGAACCATAATAAAACCTGAGAAAAATCTCCAAAAACAAGTGTGTGGTGATTTTTTCCTTCTTTTTTTTAGAGACAGTCATGCTCTGTTGTCCAGGCTGGAGTGCAATGGTGCAAACACAGTTCACCACAACCTCAAACTCCTGGGCTTAAGCAGTCCTTCCACCTCAGCCTCCCAGGGAGGCTGATCTTGTTTCCATTAGTTTTCTTAACATAGGCCGAGCATGGTAGCTCATGCCTATAGTCCCAGCATTTTAGGAATCCAAGGTAGGTGGATCACTTGAGGTCAGGAGTTCGAGACCAGCCTGACCAACATGGTGAATACAAAAAAAAAATGCTCTACTAAATCTAAATACAAAAAAATTGGTATGGTGGCACATGCTTGTAATCCCAGCTACTGGGGAGGCTGAGGCAGGAGAATCACTTGAACCCAGGAGGTGGAGGTTGCAGTGAGCTGAGATTGCACCATTGCACTCCAGCCTGGGTAACAAGAGTGAAACTCCATCTCAAAAAAAAAAAAAAAGAAAACTTCTTAATACAAAGGTAAACATATATAAGATAATATGTAAAGGCTAAAAAAGGTTCAGAATAAAAAGCTTGAAGACTAATTTCATTTCTCATTTTCAAATTACAGGCAGAACTGCTCAGGCATCTTGACCCCAAGTCTCAGATATCACTTAGAAGGTGCTGCTTACTTTGTAAGTGTGGTTCTCTGACAACCCCCCAACTTTTTTGGTACCAGGGACTGGTTTTGTAGAAGACAGTTTTTCCCAGTCCAAGGGTGAATGGGGGGCTGGAGAGTAAATGGTTTTGGGGTGAAATTGTTCTACCTCAGATCATCAGGCATTAGATTCTTTTTTTTTTTTTTTTTTTTAATTGAGATGGAGTTTCACTCTTGTTACCCAGGCCGGAGTGCAATGGCGCGATCTTGGCTCACTGCAACCTCCGCCTCCTGGGTTCAGGCAATTCTCCTGCCTCAGCCTCCTGAGTAGCTGGGATTACAGGCACGTGCCACCATGCCCAGCTAAGTTTTTGTATTTTGAGTAGAGACGGGGTTTCACCATGTTGACCAGGATGGTCTCGATCTCTTGACCTTGAGATCCACCCGCCTCGGCCTCCCAAAGTGCTGGGATTACAGGTGTGAGCCACCGTGCCCGGCCCTAGATTCTTATAAGGAGCGCACAACCTAGATCTCTCGCACATGCAGTTCACAATAGGGTTCGAGCACGTATGAGAATCTAATGTCCCCATGATGACAGGAGGTGGAGCTCAGGGCTATTCGTACTATAATCACTTCCCTCCTTTGTCAGCACATTATTAAAGAGCTGATCGTGTTAGACCAGAAAAAAATGGCCCTGAGAGAGTTGGAGAGAGGGATCCCTTTATTTGTAGATAGAGTCTAGAGGGAGTCAAGAGGCCTAGGTCCAGGCCAGGATTCTCCACCACTGGCTATCTGTAGGAAAGCCATTCAACCCTCATCATCAGCTGAGCAGGTTGGACCAGATTATTATTATTATTATTATTTTTTGCCAATCAGTTTGAGCTTATGAGGTTGCTCAGGTTAGCCTTGAACTGATGACCTCGCCTTCGTGAGCGCCATGACCTCCGGCGGGAGCCACTTTGGACCCCAGGACCAGATTATTTTTAAAGACCTGTGTGGCTCCTGAAATCTATGGTAGCTGCAGGTATCAAAGATAAGATGTCTTACCTGACTTGATGGCTAAACTAATGGCTTGCCAGGTCTAGGGATGACCTGTAAGGTATTAGAGATGTCACAGGATAACGAAGTTGGTAGTGGTATTTTGAGCCGTTTGATGCAAATCTGCAGGATCAACATGTGCAATCTACAAGAAGCCTTCTCTCCTGCTTAAAGGCTGGGCTGTGCATAGCCAAGAGCCTTATGTCTTTATTTTTCCCTTGGTGTCCTTTCTCGTCCACCTTCCTTTGATACTACCCTGTCCCCAGTCCCACTCAGGGTCAAAAGCATTAGAGAGAGCAGTGGAATGAGCCCTGCTAATTTAGGAGCTCCTGCCCTCTGCTCTGGAGCCCGGAGGGCAGATACGGGAAGAGCAGATAGGTTCCACTCTTTCTTCTCAGGTACCTCTCTTCATTTTTTTCTCCTTTGCCCTTCCTATATCCTTCAAGCCCTTACCTCTACAACGATGAAGAACTGTCTCTCACAGGAAACCCATTTCAACTGAAATTAGGGGAACCTTCTGCAGCATTTCAACTGAAATTAGGGGAACCTAAGAATCGTCATTCTGAGTCAGATCTGTGCCGGAGTGAAAGTAACACGTTTCTTAGAAGTGTGGTTGTTTCAGTGCTCTCACTGTATTTCCTCTGCTCCCTCTTACGCTCTTCTCAATCTGAATCTTCATGGGAAACATACAGTCATGACACTTGGAATTTTTAGCATTTGGAGTCATACAATTGTTTTCCACAGGAGGAAAAAACTGAAGAGGGCAGAAGATATATTACCCCACCCCATATACACGTGTGCATGTGCGCACACACACAGACACCACTACTTCTAAGACTGAAATTGTATCTAAATGAAATATCTTTTTTTTTTTTTTGCTGAATTTCCATAGGATCACAAAGTTGGAAGGGACCTTGGAGGTCCAATGCAAACACCCCTCAGTGCGTAACTCCACTCTGGAACGTCACTATCAGATGTTCATCAAGCCATGGTGTTCTAGAGACAGTCCATTCTCTCTCCCTTTTGAAAAATTTCTAAATTTTTGAAAATAATATGTGGGATAAGTTTCCTCCAGAGCATTCCCACTTTAATAATTTTATTGACAACTTTGTGAGTAACTGATATATTAGAAATTGAAGGTAGCAAGAAATGAAGTGGAAGAAGAAATAAACTAATATTGACATCAAATTAAGTGAATAAATACAGCTTTGGGTAGAAGAATTTCCTAGGGGTGTGAGAATGGTGGGAAGGCAGAAAGAAGTCACAGTTGTCTCCTTCAACAAGTTTAAGATCCAGAGAGCAGATTAGGAATAAACACTTTAAAATGTAAAAAGCCAAAGCACATGCAAATGCCATTCAAGCAGACAGTTAAAAAGCTGTCTCTCATTGTCTCTAGTTAATTGCTAAATGAAAGTGTTGAGAGTTTGGAAGAAGGAAAGACACGAGTGGGTTTTGGTCGGAGGACGTGGATGTTGAGGTGGGTAGAACCCAAGTGAGTAGGACTGAAACGGTCATTCCAGGAACCAGACAGTAGCCTGGAGAGGGTGACGACTCAGAAGTTCAAACTATTTTGTGGAACAAAAGCAGAAAATTGAGTGTGCTGCATGTGGAGGGTTTGGGGAAGAAATTTGCTTAAATAAATGAGGTTGGGGGGCAGGCCCCCACCCACCAACCCAAAACTCTGTTGGTTGTCAGTATGAAGACGTGGGGGAAAGGACAGGAGCAAAAGTTGCTGATCCCAGGTTCATCAAGCTGAGGAGAAATTTTGGTGGGAGGAAGCCCGGAAAATGTGACAGCGTTTGACAGGTGCTCAGCTGGGCTTTCCCCAGGCATCGCATTCTGGCAGCGTGTTGATTAATTCCATCCACCTCAACGCAGGAAATCAGCTTGGCTGCTGAGTAAGTGAAAGTCTGCACGGAACCCTGAGGAGCTGCCGCCAGCCCGCAGTTGCAAGGACAGGCCACGCCCACAGAGGCTGCTGCCAAATGTTGGCAAAGAATAGCCTCAGTTTCCTACTGTTCTCTTCATCCTGATGCTTGCCAATGAACCTTCCAAAGTAGAAAAATAGGGACAGTTATTAGCTATGAGGGAGTGAAGCTCTGAGATTTAAGACATTATTACTGTTTTTTAAAAATCCCAATAGCCTTTCAAGGATACTTGAGTCTCAATTTCTGTTTCAGAAAATGTAACGTGTTCGGTGAACCTCACTGCAATTTTATGGGAAGTTCATTCGGCAACTTCCCTAATGTTCCTTAACGAGGTACATCCCAGACTCTCAAGTGATATGAATCGTTTAGGCATCTTGTGAAAATGTAGCCTGATTGAGTAGGTTTGGGATGGGGACTGGAGAGTCTCCAGTTTTAACAAGGTCCCGGGAATTAACAAGCTAGATGCCGCTATTCCCAGAACCAAACTTTGAGCAGTAAGATTCTCCTAGAATGCAGGATTGAGGGGTAAGAAAGAGCCAAATTTCTCATTCCAAAACTTGCTCTATCCATATGTGCTGCCTCCCTTCTGGAGGCTGTTGTCCCCCTGCATGTGTATATACCTATAAAACTTTGTTCCATGTAGACGTCATAAACCTGTTTTGTATGTGAAGAGGTTTACCTTAGACATGGAAATAATGGAAGAGAATTAAAGAATTAAAGCACAACATAGACACTGAAACAATTGGAATATGAGGCTCCTGACCCAGTTCCCTGGTCGTCTCAGCTACTAGGAGATTCTGGCTAGCAGCTCTCCTCATTTCTCTCTTCTCTAGGGTTAACTAATATTCCTATTATAATTATTTTGAAGCCAAGGTCTTGCTCATTTGCCCAGGCTGGAGAGAAGTGGCAGGATCATGGCTCACTGAAGCCCTGACTGCCTAGCCTCAAGAGATTCTCCCACCTCAGTAGCTGGGACTATAGGCACATGCCACCATGCCCAGCATTAAAAAAAATTTTTTTTTGTAGAGACGAGGGTCTCTGTTGCCTAGGCTGGTCTTGAACTCATGGCCTCAAATGATCCTCCCACCTCAGCCTCCCAAAGTGCTGGGATTACAGGCATGAGCCACTGTGCCTGACATTTTTTATGTGTAGCAATTTCTCTCTCTTTACCCTGGAATAGGCCCTATCTTTGCACTTCCAAAAAGGTAAGTTCTCTGCAAGACAGAAGTGCCATCTGGTCTGACATAAAATTCGCAGCTCTCTTAGAAGGAGAAAACTGTTATGGCAAAAATAATTTTTTGGTAGTGCTTTAATTTTTCTTCCTCTCAGCACAGAGACTGGTACAGAGTGAGTGAGTGATGTTTTTGCTAACAAATATATAAAACTTGAATGCAAAAGCCTTCACAGGTCTACAGGACGGATTCAGAATTGAGAGGTCCCTCATGCGATCTGGAACTTTGTCCAGTGACTTAAACCGCATTCCACCCAGGATCCTCACACAGCACTCTGGGAAAAGTCCTTTCCTACGTCTCTTTTTCTCCTTACTTTTCTTTCTCAGCTTTTGCTTCTGATCCCCTTCTTTCACTGTCCTCGCTCCCAGCTCGTTTTTCACCAGAAGATCAGAAATTGCATACTTTGAGAAAGAGAGAGAGAATAAATAAGAGACAACTATAGAGACAGAAGGGAAAGGAGGACTTCTGTGTTTTGTTTACCTAAGCCCCAAGTAATTTCTACTTATACAAATATTGGCATATGAAGACCCTAGCACCAGCCTGGGCAAATGAGCAAGACCTTGGCTTCAAAATAATTATAATAGGAATATTAGTTAACCCTAGAGAAAAGAGAAATGAGGAGAGCTGCTAGCCAGAATCTCCTAGTAGCTGCTGAGATGACCAGCTTTTTCATCTGACAAATGATCATTACTTTTTTTTTTTGAGACAGGGTCTTGCTCTGTTGCCCAGACTGGAGTGCAGTGGCACGATCACAGCTCACTGGAGCCTTGACCTCGTAGTTAAAGTGATCCTCTCATCTCAATCTCAACCTCCTGAGTAGCTGGGACTACAGGGGTGCACCACCACAGCCAGCTAATTTTTGTATTTTTCTATAGAGACAAAGTCTTTCCATGTTGCCCAGGCTGGTCTCCAACTCCTGAGGTCAAGCTATCCACCCACGTCGGCCTCCCAAATTTCTGGGATTACAGGCAAGAGCTACCACACTCATACCTACTCATTACATTTAGAAAGGAGGGTTAATTTCTATGAATTGTGATTTTGTGGAGTTGTTGGTGAATATAGTGACATTGTGACTGTATTCACTGACATGGTGTTGGTGAATATAGCTTTCTTAGAGCTTTAGTTCTTGCTCCCTGATGATTGAGGAGCTGAAGATTTGTTTCTGATTAATTTCTAGAGCTCTCTCAAAAACTTAGTAAACTTCTCATCTGAGTCAATTCTTTTTTTTGTTTTGAGATGGAGTTTTGCTCAATTCTTTTTGAGGCATAATTCCTAGAATATTTCTATTTCTTTGTCTCTTCATTCCTATAACTCTCTCTTGATTTGATGGCAGATTACTAGAACTATAGGTTTATACTTTTGAGTCTTTTTATCCAATTAAAAAAGGTTTCCAGATGTTTCATTCTAATTCTTGCCCTTTAGTAATTGACTTGGTTGAAAGGTTTTATCTTGCATTTCTCCTTCAAAGGCATTTTGAATCTTCTCTTTTACCCTTGAGGGATAGAAACAGTTATTTTTTATTTTTTAATTTTTTTGCACCTTTACAGGGCCTGAATTTCTTTCCTTTGTTTTTTTTTGAGATGGAGGCTTGCTCTTGTTGCCCAGGCTGGAATGCAGTGCTGTGATCTTGGCTCACTAAAACCTTTGCCTCCAGGCTCAGGCTCAAGCGATTCTCCTGCTTCAGCCTCCACAGTAGCTGGGATTACAGGTGCCCACCGCCATGCCTGGCTAATTAGGGTTCTGAATTTCTGTACGCTCTTCATTTCCTTTCATTTTTGTTTATTAACCTGCCAACTCTTTCCTGAGCGCATCTTTTTTAGGTGTTACCTTGCCAAATGCAGACAATAGTATCCAAACACACGCGACTAACATTCTGTTTTCTAATCTCTTTCTCTAGAGCTTCAAGTTTATTAGGTACAAGAGCTGCCTCTCAAATCATTGCAGGCAGTGGGTTAACTAAATGTGTTGCCATTGTAGAGCACGGGTTATCATTTATCCAGCCTACAATTTTATTGCCATTATTACATGTCACCTGACCACTGTTTCATGGCTTTTTGTTATGGTAGCTCTTCACTTCAAGGCATGAATTTCCGTAGCTAAAGATATACTGTCATGTTGCAGTAGCATATCTTGATTAGATGCACTTTTTTTCTTTTTGAGAGAGGGTTTTACTCTGTAACCCAGGCTGGAGTGCAGTGGCACTATCTCTGCTGACTGCATCCTCAACCTCCCAAGTAGCTGGGCTCAAGTGATCCTCTGGCCCCAGCCCCCCAAGTAGCTGGGACAACAGGTGTGCACCGCTATACCCAGCTAATTTTTTTTTTTTTTAATAGAGGTAGGATTTTGCCATGTTGCCCAGGCTTGTCTTGAACTCCTGGCCTCAAATAATCTGTCTGCCTCGGCCTCCCAGAGTGTTGAGATTACTGGCGTGAGCCACCATGCCTGGCTAGATGTACCTTTTTAAAATGAGAATAAAACCTTTTAAAAGTTGGATTTGTAAAACTAAATGTGTATCTTTATATTTTCATTATTCCCAGTAATCTCATGTTATTATCTTATTGGTTTATATGTGTGTGTTCACTTTTTCCCACAATTATTTTAACCTCATTAAGGTAGAGACTGTAATAGTATAGTCTATTACCTGTGATAGTAGCCCCAAGAAAATGTATCATTGCTCCAAGCACATATGAGGTCATGAAAACATCTTGCTGATTTGGATGTTTGATGAACTATACTATTTTACCACATTTGAGGCTGTGTGTAGCTCATTGCTGAGGCAACAGAGTCTTCTGGTATCTCTTTTTTGTGGGGCTCGTGGAATTGGCTGTAGTGGTCTAGCTGTCAGTGTATTGAATAATGGCCCCAATGCATTATTGAAACTCTTAAAGCTGGTGTCAGCTTAGATCATGAGTGGTACAGAGCCAGTCAGTGAAGGGTTCCACCATAGTCAGTGTGTCCCATCAAATGTTCATTACTGTGTCCCTGGTGTTAGGACATGATTTACATTATAGGAAGGGCTCAGTGAATGTTAGATGAGAAAAGGATCTGGATCTGTTGATTCAGTTTGAACTCAGTGATAGCCAGTTACTAGTTTGGCATCCTGATAAGACAGTTGTTTTTACCTCAAGGGGGAAAACTGGGACTGAATTTAGTAAAGGTCAGTGTGGCCTCCTGCTTACATGAAGAACCATTTTGTTCCCTGCACCCCCTGCAATCCAGCAAATCCTCTTGTACTGAATTAGGTACTCTTAGTTCCAACTGATTTATTCATTCTTTCTTTCAGGAGAGCTGGCATATTCTTCTGTGCATTGAGGTATGGCATTGAAGATAATGAGTGACTCAATCCAGTCAATTTAGTACACACTTAAAGGTCTATTGCACATGTTGCTTTGGGAGCATGAGTTATACAAGCAAAGAGGAGAACGTAGCTCTTGATTTCATGGAGCTAGCTTCTCTGCACATGGAAGGTCACACCTGGGGAGACCTTGAAAATTTTCCATAAGATGGGCTTAGGGGCTTCAGTCTGGCAGAAGGAGTTGGCTAGGGGACTTGAGTCTGTCTTTGCATAGAAGACACTGTGTTTTTTTTTGAGAATGTGTATTTGGAGAAGGAAGCTGGTAGAGATTATTGGGAGGTGGGTAAAGTTACCCAAATATATAAAGACCCCAGGGATCTCTCCTAAAACATGTCTGTGAGGGAAAGATACATAAAGCATCAGCAGAAGAGGTTTAGGAAGGGAACAATGCCTGAGAGGATAATTTGAGGAAGTCTTTGTGTAGAAGTTACATTTCTGGCTGTTCCTGAGAGAGGTACAGAGGACTGCACAGGCATGGAGGGGAGCAGGGTGGATGGAAGGCCTGTGATCACAGAATTTTGATCAGTGTTGGAGGGCCTTCCAAGGAACCTTTGAACAACTCTTCACCATTTTCTTCACCTGAAGAAAATAGAGAGAAAGTTGTTCTAATGTGCTGAGCTAGAGGAAAATAACTTTGCCCTGCTAGAATGTGTCCTGCCTTGTGAAAAGATTGTAATTTTACCCGATCTTAATGGACATAAAGCAAGTTACTATTTTTGGGGGGATGTCTGTGTATCTTAGGGCACAGTGCCTGACATGTAGAATGTGTTTAACAAATATTTGACAATTTGAACTGAACTGAGATGAATTAACTTTTTGCAGGTCATTTAAAATTACACGTCAGAGCATTTAAAGGTTTCTCTTTTTTTTCTTCAAAAATTAGAAAAAACATTTACTGTTTCTTGTTAAAATACAGTGCTCTCATGAGAAAAGTGTGCAAAAAGAGCCTTCCTACACCCTGGGCTTTTTCACTTATCCCAGCAGGCTGGGACTGTCCTCACTGCATAGGAGGAAAAGTTCTTTACCTACTTCTGGGAAATTAGGCACTTTACTCTAGTTTTACTTTTAATTACTTTCATGTGTAAAAAAAAAGGCAAAATCCAACAGCTAATGGGTTATCTCTTCCTAGGCATATATGCCCAGTCCACTTGGACACAGACGTGGACCTCAAGTCCACCTCCCCCCATGTGCAGCCCAGAATTAGGTGGCACCCTGGAAATCAAGTGGGTGTTCCTGGCTAGGGATTGAAGAACATCTCAGCTCCTGGTCAGCTGGTTGAAAACATGCAAAGTGTCTCCAGTGAGAAGCTAAGATTACCTCTTTAATGAGAAACACTTTGGGTGTGGTGGGGCCAGATGTTAACAGGCAGGCAGCATTCTTGCCACAGGTAGTATCTGGTCTAGAAGCTAATAGATCCCCAAATCCTCTTAAGGTCCCTTACATTGACAAGAATGAATTCAAGTTTCAAAACGACACCCCCAAGTTATACAAGGTAGAGGATGTCATTAAGACAATAGTCTCACCAAGTCCATGAGAGCTCTGATCCCACCATCTCCCTTCCCTCACTCTCCAAGTCTGCTTAGTTCTGCCCGCTACTCTTCCTTCTCAGCAACAGTTCCAGTATCCAGAAGTCTTGAGCAGCCTTCAGCCTCACAAGTTGGGCATGACCCAATTGAGAAACTTCATGGCAACATCAAGGCCAAGGAAACAGGCTGCATTGGTGGGGAACGCTCAGGTCATCACTGCATCAACAAGGACGTGCTTCCTTCATCCCAGATTATCTCCCTCAGCACATCTACAGAACTGTTAGGATATTTCCTAGGAGATTCAGTCTGGAAGGGAGACTTGAGCACATCTTGGGGGACTGCCACAGCCCAGTTGAAGATTCCTGCTATGCCCCAGCCACCAGGATTCAAGGCACACTGAGCTCACTGACCCTCTTTCCCTCCGGAGTGAAGATATTTTTTAGTTATTCATATGTCATGAAATATATTCCACTAGCTGGGACATCTCACATAAGGGTAAGCACAGTCCCTTCATAGATGCCTTGGATCCCAAACTCATGGTACAGCTTCTTTGCATAGTTCAAGGTACCAGTGTACGTGGTTTCCCCTGAAGAAGCCTGAAACGGTAACAAGCACTTGATGGGTTCTCCAGGGATCATGATGCCTGTGGTCCATGTACCAGATAACATCCCAGCTGCAAATAGGGGGGGATATCTGAGCATATCCTCTGGGTGTTTCTGTTGTAGTTTCTTCCCCAAACCAAACCCAGAGAAGCACACAGCAAACATGGAGGTGACCCCGATGATAGGGGCAGCCATTCCTTGATACAGCTCCATGGTGCCCTGTCTAAGAGTTATCGGGAGACTGTCAAAGATCCCAGAGTACAGGGGAGGCTGTCCTGACTAACTCAGTGGTTGTGTCTGCAGTTGGACCTTGGCAGTGTCCAGAGGGTGCCCCATGAACACCAGGCACAAGGCACCAAAGCCTCTAGCCAGCAGGTTCTCGAGCGGGCTGATGGGCTTTGGTGGGTTGGCCATGGTCAGTCTGCCTGTCCCTCATTATGTTTTCCTGGGCTGTCCTGGCTCGGCTGTCCTGGCTCTGCTGCCCCAGCTGCAGTGCCAGGGCTGCCAACCTTGCATTTAAAGGCTTCTACTTGCTAATTCATTTTGGTTAAAAAAAATCATTCTCAGAGATAGCCAAGGTAATAGGCATTTATGTGTTGTATGAATGTGATGTTATATATATATCAAAGCAAAATTTTTAAACTAATTTACTACAGAGATGAACCAAGTTAGAAATTGTTGTCAAATCTTTTTTTTCTTCCACAAATTGCCCACACCCTTGTCACGCACCATATGTTCCACTTTCTAGTCATGCAATATGTATCATAATTTAAATGGGAGAAATCTCATCCTTAGAGGAAACTTGGTACTAAACTAGAGAACTATCTTTAGCAGTTTTGTGGGCAATGGGTGGAAGTAGGGTAGGAGGAAATAAAAATTTAGTCCTTTTCCTGTCATCCCTTTCTTTAGGGTCCCCTTTGGTTCCCCTTCAGGAAATGGAATTAACAAACAAACAAAAAAAACCCCCATGCATTCATCAGTAACTCTGGGTCAACCACAACTTAAAGGCAGTAAGCAGGTCATTCAAAATGGGCAGTGATTGCTATAAAACGAACAGGTACTCTCATTGATAGAACACAGGCATACACAGGAAAATACATTCACAGAAAGAGCTTCCTGTACAAAGCAAGCATCCAGCGCAAGATGACAGTGAAGAGCCTACATGTCACAGCCATGGTGAGTAGCAGCAATCATTCTGGTTTAAGGACAGTCATGCCTAGGATTTCAGGAAAGCAGATTTCTCAGGAATTAGGCTCGATTGGGAGCCTAATTTTTGGAATTACTTCTTTAAAAACAGAGATGACTTTAATTTTGGCTCCTGTCTAATGGAGAAAAAGAAAAAAAAATTAGAAAAGTTATAATGGGATAAAAAAACACAGCTCCTCATCCGATGGCTTTTGTTCAGGTGGCATTAGCATGTGCAGTCCTTGGCATTACAGACAACCGGCATGTTCTCTCCTGCTTGTGGCCATCCATTGTAGAGTTAGGTTGGCCTGAAATTCTTATCTCATGGTGGAAGCTTAGCCAGCCCTTTAGGGGTTTTATATATATATAGACCAAGGAAACTGGGGCCTCGAGGTTTAATGATTCTCCCGAGACTGTAGGAGTGCCCTGGATGGAAGAAGTGAAATCACTCAGTGTTGACTTTGGACAGCTCCTTGAGAAGGGAAATTTCCCATGTCTCTGATTGCTATTTACTTATTTATTTTGCACCATCTCATTCTTCTTGGAGGAAAGAGATGTTAATGCCATGAAAATCTAGCCCTGGCAGTTCTGGTGGAGTCTTGCCTGGGATTAGTTAGACAAGGCCTGGGAAGAATTTCCTATAGAGGCACATGAAAACGGGTTAGGAAACCCTGCATCATATTATTGGCTTAGGTAATTTCCTTTTTTTCTCTTTTTACAAGCCATACAACTTAAAAGAGTTGAACATCATAAAATGTTCATGGCATGCAGCAATGATACATTTTATTTTATATTTATGTGTTATTTTAGAGATTACATGCAGTGCAGCAAAGTGCTGTATTTAGAGGCATAGGCTTTGGTGTCAGGCAGACCTGGCTCTACTGCTTGCTAAATGTAGGATTTTGGGTAAGTTATTTAGCTTCTCTGTGCCTCGGTTTTCTCAACTATACAGTGGGAATAACAATGGCATCTTTCTCATGGCATTTATTGGGAGGATTAATTAATATTGAGAATAAATGAGTCTATGCTCTGTACAGGCAGATTTGTTTATGCTTAGTTTTTATTTAATTTGGCCATTCTAATAAACAACACTGATAATGATAGGGAAAGCATTCAGTAAATGTTAACTATTCATAGTAATATTGTTATTATTATCCTGGAAATTCTGATCAATCCACTGAAGTAGATGGGGATACTTTCCACTTTATACAGATGAACAAAAGCTCAATTGTTAAGTGATTTATTTAACATTGCTGGATACTGTAAGCACAAGATCTGGTACACCAATCTAAGCTTTCTGGCTCTAAGCACAGTGTGCTTCTCTTTGAATGGTTCAGAGGCAAGATTTCTGGATTTAAAGCCATTGCATCCAAACAATTCTGTTGAATAGCTTTGTGCTCCTTAGCTATTTCTATTTCTAGTTTCTTTGAAGAAATCTGTTGAGTTGGGAGCAAGAAACATAACAGTGCAAGGAGCATTAGAATGGGATTAGAAGTTGAGAGATGCAGGCAGATGGACATCCTCCGTAAGTAGTTGAGGCAAATTCTCATGGACCTAGAGGTTGGCCAGGTTCTGGTGCTCACTGGGACAACTCACATTGCAGGTAAGTACAGGGGGTGGGTGTTCAGGTTGCTCAGGTGGGCTCACATGAGAGTGAGGCACAAAGCTAGGCTGAGAAGGTTGGTGTCCTGTTAGAGCCCACCTTCACCTGGTGCGTTCCCTTGCCTCTATCCCCTCTTCTGCAGATTCAGAGTGATATCTGTTCATCTGCTTTATAGGTGGCATATAAGAATTCAAGTCTGTACAATGCTCTGAATTTCTCTGAGAGGTGCTGTTTAAAATCATTCTTAAGAACAGCAGCAGCCTTATCAGAGTCCCTGCTCTGTATTACATAACCACTAAAATCTACAGTTCAGATCAAAAGCTTTATGGAGCAAATTGGAGTAATTTGCAGATATTATCTGATTTCCTGATAAAGAGCTATGTGACCTACAACACTTATTCACGTCTAGTACAATTGTCACATTGCTTAAAATGTTTGGCTCTCCTAATGAGACAAAGCTAAGATTAATGTTGATAATAATAAAAATGACCTTCAATGGCAATGGCACTGACTGCTGACACCTAGGTCTGAGTCCTCAGACTGGTACTCATAGGCTGGTGAACTTGAATTATTTATTCCCTCCGGGACAGAACTCTTTCACCTGGCTAATTGGGATAAGTAATACTAGCTCTGTCTGCCTCACCAGGTAGTTGTGAGAATCCAGTGTTTAAAGAGATGTAAAAGCGTTTTCTAAAATAGTCTAAGAATACATAAGCAAATGTAATAATGATTTGTTAAAAGCATGGTAATTATTGCTAAATCATATAACCCCAACGTATGTATTTAAAAGCTTTCATAATGAAAATTAATAGTGATTCGGTGAATTGACACAGAAAAGCAAAGAGAAAGCACAAAGGGGGAATTTACTTAAGAACTCTAAAGATGTGATTGATAGGCTTGGGGAGTGACCTAATACCCTCTAATGTAAGTTGGCATCTTTAAAAAAAAATCATAGCAGGCCAGGCACGGTGGCCCACACTTGTAATCCCAGCACTTTGGGAGGCTGAGGTGGGCAGATCACTTGAGGTTAGGAGTTCAAGACCAGCCTGGCCACATGGTGAAACCCTGTCTCTACTAAAAATGCAAAAAATTAGCGGATATGATGGCACATGCCTGTAGTTCCAGCTACTTGGGAGGCTGAGGCAAGAGAATTGCTTGAACCTGGGAGGCGAAGGTTGCAGTGAGCTGAGATCACACCACTGCACTCCAGCCTGGGCGACAGAGCGAGACTCCATCTCAAAAAAAAAAAAGGCCATAGCACTTTGTCAAGATAGAAGGTATATGAGCAGAAATTCCACATCTATCAAGTCCACTGTGTAGACTGTATAACAATATAGAGTTAGCAACAGTCACCTGTATGGATACTTATCATATGCTGCCGGCATTCCTCATAGTTTATATGGATCATCTTATTTAATCTTCACAGTTTTTGTTGGAGGAAACAGAATTATGGCTTCTAAGAGTCCCAGAGTTGAGTTACAGACCCTGGACTTCTGACTCTGAAGCCCTTGCCTGAGCTACCACACTGTAGAGTCAAGAACTAGTTGTTGAATGAATGAATGATTGTAGGGGATGAAAGTTGATGATTGCTGATTAATCTGAAGGCAAATCACCCTCATTCTGACTTCTCTGGGTCAACCTTGCTTTCAACTTCTTTTTAGTATCCGCTTCCTCAGTATGGCAAATGGACACTATGACCTTTTTGTTTACTCTTATTGTTTTTTGTCTCTAGTACCTGCAAAATATGAAAAGGAGGGCCTTTGAAACCAATATGTCTAGTCACCTTCCCTACCTTAACTCAGGGAAGGTGTGAGCCTGAACAACATGAAGCCTAGAGAATAAAAGCAACGTAGCTTCAGCTCTTCTTCTGTATTATGTTGATAGTTGGTGCTGGGCCTTGCTCATCCTCAGTAAGGGTCAGTAGCGATGGTGGGTGAGCAAAGCATGGTCGTGACAAAGGGAAGCTGGCAAGATTTTTAACTTTTCTTTTCATTAGGTCTTCAGTGCACTTTCATTCTTTGTGCATTCTGATAACACCGGTTAAACTGGTATTTCAATGTAAGTATAAAAAAATGCTTCAGAGCTAAAGAGAAATAGTTTCCATATTCTCTGCTGTTGTGCATCATTAGTGCCCCAATTTCTTTCAATTAGCATGGATAATTGGAACTTTGCTGTCGTTGGTTTTGCATAATGTTTTTCTTAATGCAGTAAGCTTAACTATATAGTTCAATTAAACTGTATCATTTTGTTCATTCATTCACTCACCCACTCATTCATTCAAAAAGTGTTTATGGAACATGTGTAAAATGCACATTCTTCTGCAGGAACTTACAATCTAATGGGTGTAGATCTGACATGAACACAAATACTACATTTCCAGACAATTAAAACATGCTGCTTGAGTGCTAGATGATCAAGGCTTTATAATTTAAGGATAATAAACACACTTCTGACTGAACCGTTTTAGGGACAGTTCTTAGAGAAGATAATATCTGAGCTGGGCCTTAATGGAAGGGTAGAATTTTGACAGACAGAGGTGGGGCAGTGTATTCTAGTTGGAAGGGTGCCTCAGATAAAGGATTTTGTGGAAGATTCATGAGATATAAAGTTGGAAATAAAAACAAGAGTTATCATTTAAGCCTTTATTTTTGTTATACAGATTTATGTATGTTTTATATAGAACATTCTATTTAATCTCATTAATAGTTTCATAAAGTGAACATTATTATCCAGTTGGAAAGAAGAGAAACTTAAAGGCTCATCAAGGAAGCCAGGATAGGATTTTAACCCAATCTCAGACCTTGGCATCTTTCTGTCTCACTGTTGAGGAGCTCTTAGACTATGGAGGGCTTCAATAACTAGCAAGGCTAATGAGTTTCATTCTCAGTTTGGCACCTTGATACCTTTACGTGTGAGTGTTCCCATTTCCAGGTGAGGAACTGAGGTGCAAAGAGAAGCCCTGATCCCATAAAAGGACCAGGAATGCTGAGTTCCACCAGAGCATGCATCTCTTGCTAGCAAGTGACGTGAGTCTCTGATTGCAGCCTCTTCTGCTTTCCAGGTGAAGTACTTGCTGCTGTTGATATTGGGGCTTGCCTTTCTGAGAGAGACAGCAGCTCAGAGAGTCCCCAAAGAAGGACAAACGTTTTTCCAAAAGCCTGAGAGTTGCCCATCTGTGCCAGAAGGTAGTCTGAAGCTTGACCTGGGCATCATCAATGCAAACCAGCGTGTTCCCTTGTCACGTAACATCGAGCGCCGCTCCACCTCCCCCTGGAATTACACGTAAGTGCAAACGAGACTGATCTTCACATTCTTTGGAAAAATATGTTAACTTGTTCTAATAATAAAGTAGAATATTTAGAATACATAGAAAAAATAAAAGGGAAAATCCTCTTAACAATGAATATCTCACTTTACCTGGGAGCTCACATCTTTCTCGTCTTAGGCTAGGTTCATCTTTGTGGTGACGGTTCTAATATTTTGCTCCCACATTCTCATACACTCTGTGCCTTTTTCTGCTTCATGCAGTTCTAGGATGGAATTCACAATTTTCCTGTGTTGGAGAAGAAGAAAGCAGATTGCATAATAATCTTCTTGAAAGCAGATTACATAATAATCTCTGCATGAGGATAGATGGGAAACGGAAAAGTCAGTTTAAGGAGATTCACAGATTAGACATTATCCTTTAAGGAGTGGGAATGGGTGGAGGAGAAAAGCCAGTTTGGGAAATGGGATGTTAGGTGGGGACCTTCAGGGTACAGTCTTGTAATTTTTGCCTTAAGATACAGGTTCTTGGACCACCAAGCACCCCCACCCCATACTCTCCACACATAAGTATTTAAACAGATTCCAGGGACAATTGAAGTGCTTCTGGGGTTGTCACATAGTGTCTCATGTGAGTGTGCTATGAGAAAAACTTGGGACTGTAATGCCCCCTGCCTCAAACTGGGAAGATGTGGAGAGACCAAAGAATGACTTGGACAAGTCCAGCTTAGCATGTGATCAGTTTATTAAGACTTACATATGGGCACCCCAGGGCAGGATAGCTCTAGAAATCCATCCTGGCTCCTATCTCTAAGCTGCTCTTAAGGGAATTTTCTGGCTTTTTGCCTATGGTGTATGTGCAATGGGACTGTTTTCCTTGGTAGGTTCTCAGACACTCTCTGAGATGTTTGGGTTCTCAGTGACCCGCTCCTCGGCTGGGCATGGTGGCCTTGGCTCACTGCCCATCCTTCAGGGTTCAGGCAGTGGACACATACCCTTGAGTAACCTGGTGGGAGTCCTGTCACACTGCAAGTGGAGTGTGTACAATGGCAAACTGGCAGGATAAACTTTGCTGTCTTTATGCCTCCAGGCAGAGGGGCCTATTAAAGAAGAAATGGAGAGAAGCACTGAGATTCACAGACCCCTGGGGCTGTGGCTTTCCTTTTCAAGCAGCAGGCTCTGTAGACCAACTAGTGATGGAAGACCAACTAGTGATATTCAATCTCCAGGCAGAAGATAAAGAATAATTGTAATAGGCCAGGTGCGGTGGCTCGTGTTTGTAATCCCAGCACTTTGGGAGGCTGAGGCGAGCGGATTGCCTGAGCTCAGGAGTTTGTGACCAGCCTGGACAACACAGTGAAATGCTGTCTTGACTGAAATACAAAAAATTAGCCAGGCATGGTGGCATGCACCTGTAGTCCCAGCTACTTGGGAGGCTGAGGCAGGAGAATTGCTTGAACCCAGAAGGTGGAGGTTGCAGTGAGCTGAGATCACGCCACTGCACTCTAGCCTGGGCAACAGAGTGAGACTCCATCTCTAAATAAATAGATAAATAAAAAGAATAATTGTAATAATAATAATGCCAATAAAAGATCTAACATTAATTGAATCCTAACATTTGTACAGTGAGGTATTTTATATGTACTTGTATCACTGAGTATTCTCCACAGTCCCATGAGAAAATGGTATATGAAAATCCCCATCTCATAGTTGAGGAAACTGAGGCTTAGGAAGGTAAGCAAATGCCAGCGGCTGATGTATGCATCCAGGCTGTGTGGCTCCAGAGCCTGTGCCACCCACAGCCCTGCAGAACTGCCTCCCTGCAGGTGAGCACCCAGTGCCGTGGGGCTCTCATTTGCTGTCTGTCTTCCTCCCCCATGCCTCACCATTGTGCTTTGGCTTGCTCCTCCTGCAGCGTCACCTGGGACCCCAACCGGTACCCCTCAGAAGTTGTACAGGCCCAATGTAGGCACTTGGGCTGCGTCAATGCTCAAGGAAAGGAAGACATCTTCATGAATTCCGTTCCCATCCAGCAAGAGACCCTGGTCCTCCGGAGGAAGCACCAAGGCTGCTCTGTTTCTTTCCAGTTGGAGAAGCTGCTGGTTACTGTTGGCTGCACCTGCGTCAAACCCCTTATCCACCATGTGCACTGAGAGAGGCACATCAACTCAACTGAAGAAGCTGTAGCGATGCCACTCCTTACCCAGGGCTCTGCAACAAGCCCTATTGATCCCCAGTTCCCTCTGTGTCACAGGACTCTTAATAAGACCTGCATGGATGGAAACACAGCGTATTCACAATGTATGTGTGCATGCACTGTATTTTATATTTGATACCGAAATGTTAGGAGACAAATTAATACATTCAGTGCTAATATAATAAAGTATTAATAATTGAAAAATACTTCAGGTATTTGTTTCCAGTCCCAGCTTGTACTCACAGACCTTGTAGCTCTAAAGAGTTTGGAATTCTATATGCCTATCATTTATTTTTCATATTTCCTCATCAGAGCACCAGTTTTAGAGTTGCTTTATTATTAATGGTGCTTGGAGGTTGGTTACATAGAGAGTTAAGGAAAATGGTGCAAACAGAACTGAGGTTCCCTGGTGACACTTTACTGCTTCATCATCCCAGCTACGTTATTTTACAAACCAAATACTTATTGGCCACTGTGCTAGCCACTGGAGATACAAAGTAAAGTAAGAAATGCATAAGGAAGGGCCATATGTAGGGAGCAGCCATCCAAAGAGCCCTGGTCATGAAGGCTGTGGTGGCCACTTTGCATCCTCCTCTGACTTCTGGGCTCTTTAGGGGCCACTGGTTGTCTTTTATCCATCTCTTACACATCTTAGGAGCACACAAGCTTCCAGATTCTGATCTCCATACCACCCTGAGAAAACTCTGGTCTTCTGATGCCTCTGTTGCACACCACAGTTTCTCCTTTACTTCCACCATGCCACTAGCTCAGAGCACATCTGCATTGCTGCTGCCTCCCAGGTTCCAGAGAAAGCAGTTATAAGTTCTCCCACGTAGGACTTGGCTTGAGGATGGACAGTTGGCAGCAGCCTGGCTCCCATTTAGAACTCTTTAGTCTGTTGGTAGGTGTGGAATGGGAGTGGCTGAGGAAGTTCTTTCTCTATCTCTTTGCTCCAGAATCTTGTGCTTAAAATATAAATACTGACTTTTGTACTTAAAACGTTAAGGTTCCTAAAAGGTAAAATACCTTCCTCTCATAGCTATCAGCTTCACAATGGTGCTCTGAATCTTACAAGTTCATTTGGATGCTCAAATCTGTGTGATGAAAGTTTTCTCTGTTCATTTCGGAGGTAAGAGCTATACCCTGGGGGTAGTGCATATAAAAAGCTCTCTGTCTGAGTGGTGGAGGAAGTATAAAGGAAATTTCAGGGGGAAAAGAATTGCACCACTGAGTGTATCAAGATACAGTCTTGGCCCAGTGTGGTGGCTCATGCCTGTAATCCCAACACTTTGAGAGCCCAGGGAGGGAGGATTGCTTGAGACCAGGAGTTCAAGACCAGTCAAGACAACACAGAGAGACCACATGTCTAACACACACACAAACACACACACACACACACACACACACACAAGATTAGCCAGGCATGGTGATGCAGACTAATCTGTAGTCTTAGCTATAGCTCCTTGGGAGACTAAGATGGGAGGATAGCTTGAGCCAGGAGTTGAAGGCTGCGATGAGCTATGCTCTCATCATTGCACTCCAGCCTGGGTGACAGAGTAAGACTTCGCCTAAAAAAAAAAAGACATTATTTTATATTTCATTACACATGTACACATGTACTTTCGAGGCAAAGTACTATACTGTAATAACAAATACTATAATCAAGGTATGAAATGTTAGGAAAATACAGGAAATTCCTGGGAAGTTTCAGAAACAAGATGACTTTTGCACTGAGATGAATATGAATTGGTTTGGAGGAAGATGTGGGAAAGGCATTCCAAGCAAATGTAACAGCATGAGCAAAGGCAAGAGGTACAAAAAAACCTGGTGTGTTGGGGGACGGAAAGTAGTTCTATGTGCTCAGGATAGTGTGGACATGGGGACACGGGTGGGGAATGCATAACAAATATTCCTTTACTAAATGAATGAATTCACATGGTAGTAGACAAAGAACAGTGGGCAAATGGGCCATGTGTGGATGGTTTTGTAAACTCTGTTACAGGAACGACAGGGGTATAGCTATATTTCCCAAGATAACTTTGGTGATAGAGTGCAAAAGGGATCAGAAATCTGAAGGCCAGTGAGAAGATCAGAGAGAAAGCAATTTCACTCTGACAGTACATTCACATTTTTAGAGCTGGATGAACCCCGATAGATCACCCGGTCAACCTTTCTCATTTGCAAATGTGGCCCACAGGAATTAGGTGACTTGCTCAAGGTCACTTGGCAGTTAGTAGTAGAAACAGGTTCACTGACTCCAAGTTCATGACTTTTGATATGGGTTTTGCAATGACACTGTAGTCTGTCCAATAGAGACTCATTTCAGTCATTTCTGTATGTGGCCTCAGGCTTCATTTCTCTATGTGGCCCTGGGAGAGAGTGCAGAATTACCTCCGCATCACACATATCCAAAAACACTGTATGTCGTGCTCTGGATCCTGGGGCCCTGAGTCACAGCTTCCCTTTATGGCTCCTGCACTGAGGGTTGGCTATCCTTCAGGAAACTGCATGTCCTCTCCTGCTCACAAGGTGGCACGCTGTGTTCAGTTGTTCCCAGATTTCTCAGTATATGTTGAAAGGAAGAAATGACTGCTTTAGGGGTAATTTGTTTTATTTGGCACTGGAAGCCACTGCTAAGGCAGAATGAGTAGGCTATGTTCTTCTGTTCTGCGCTCAGCATTCTGGAAGAGCCTTTGTTTTTCCTGCAGGAGAAATGGCTGAAGTTAAGCAGTTTAGGTTTCAAATACAATGTTGCATCATAATATGTGGAGAGAGAAACCTTTCTTTCCACATGGAGACTTGAAAGCATAGAGCCTTTTCTTTTGACATCCAGTTCTTTTTTGTGAATACTTGGCTAAGGGGGAAAAAACCCCAACGTATTTTTTCTCTGTCTCTGTTTCTCTCTTCCTCTCTTGTTCCCTACTTCCCCAAATTTGGATAAAAGTCACCTCTATGTATAAAGCTCTGTGTGAGAAATTTTACTTGTAATTTACAGTGAGGAAAATAGAAGGTTGGTTTTTCTTCCCCCACTCCCTTCCATAAAAGAAGAGGTAGGAAAAAATGTATGTAATATGTAGACAACCCTCGGCTTTGAATCCTGGTTCTACCATTTTCTGCTTGTATGAATTTAGGCAATTTAGTCCTTTTTCTTCATATGTTAAATGCAAGATAATATCTATTTTAAAGAGTTCTGTGTAAAGCAATCGAAATAAAAAAATGTAAATAATTTAATTCCGTAACTGGGTAATGGTAGGCTTGGTAACTGGTAGTCATTATTTCAAGAGGCACAGAACTTACATTTCCCATTTTGCTTGGCCCAAAGAAACTCAGAACCCACTTTTGTGTTTAAGTACCACAGTTTGCTGGCAGATTAGACATTTATAAGAGAAAAAAAATACCACAGTTATATTGTTGCTCATGGTTTTCAAATTTGCTTTATTTAATTTCTATATACATATACTAATATAGTATATACAGTACAGGTGTATATCAGTATATAGATCCTGTGTTTAAATTAGTTTTCTATCTATGAAAAGTTAAGAAAGCTATAGATTCAATTCATTAAAAAAATTCCCCTTGGGCCCAAATGTCTATTGTATCCCCTCCAGTGGTATAAATTGGAATAAAAACATTTTTAGCTCAATAAGTTTTAGGAGTGATACATGTTCAGCTAGATAAGTGTGTGCTTTAAAAATTGTGACCTATTCCTGGCTCCCTGGCAGTTTAGTGGGTACTGATTTTGTTCAGTAGTGAAGAAGAACATATTTCAAAAACTAATAAAAAATAATCATGATTTGAGCATCAAGACGTTCTTGTCGGCAAAATGTTGCTCTCTTAAATGGTACAGACATCATAGCAATAGCAGAGAGCACAGCATAATGATTAAGTGTGTGGACGTTGGAGCCAGATGGCGGGTTAAAATGTCAGTTCTGGACCTTACTAGCTGTACTAGTTGCTAATGATTTGGGGCATGTTACTTTGCCTCTCTGTGCCTCTCTTTCCTCAAATGTAAAATAGAGACGATAATAGTGCCTACTTCATAAAGTTACTGAGGGGATAGAATCATAATCTATAAGGTACTTGGAATACTTCCTGGCATGGTAGGTGTATTGTTTATTGTATTATTAAGAGAGATAAAATCCATCTATTATTCTACCACAATAACAGATCACATTAATATTTTTCTTTCTCTTCTGCTCATCTGCCTCACAGATATATATTTCATAAGGCTGTAACTGTAACGTATGTGGAATTTGTATTTGGTAATTTTTACTTAATGTTATACTCTGTGTATTTCCAATGTTTCCATAAAGGATTCACAACGATTTTTAGTAGCTGCATAATTCTTTCAAGTTGATGGACCAGAATTTATTTAGTTACTTTATTTTTGGATCTTTAGCTCCAAAAATAAAAGAATAATTATTTATACTTTAAAAAGGTAAATAATGCTTGTAACTGTTTTAATTACTTTTTAAAATTATGAACTGTGTAGTACACACAGAAGAGTGTATGTCTTTATATGTGGATCGTTGCCTTGCATATCAAAATTCTGTGTATGTATGTGTGTGTTTTCATATCTATAGCCAACCTTGGGGCAAGTTAGTTAATTTCTCTGAGTCTTAGTTTTCTCAACTATAAAGTGGGGTGATAATGTCAGTCTCATAGGATTGTAATGTGGATTAAAATAAACAATACATGTAAAGCATTTAGGGCAGTTCCCAGTTCCAACGAGCTGTTTTAGTCTTAGTGGTTATGCAGAGCCTGTGGATTAGTGTTCTCACCTTTAAATTCTTATTTTCAAAGTCAAAGAAATCAATGCATTAGACAAACATGGGTTTATGAGTTGTTCTGGGGTTGCGGCTATGAAAATATTCAGAGCCTTCTGATTCCACTGGCTTACCTCTGTGGTTTCGTTATGTGCTATCTATAGGTGACACACCACAGCCCCTTTGTATGGCCTGAGGCGAGGACCAGACCTTGTTTATAGTGGTGACAACACCAGAGGCCCTGTAACCATTTCCCACAACCACATTCTCATGGCTTTGACAGAACTCAGCTCTGGGAGGCACAGCTCGGATGGGTTGTGTAGACTGAATGTCGGAGTGAGATCTGAGAGTGACTGTCCCCCTTGTAAGGGACACCATGCTCATGGAAAAGTGCTTAGTATTCTTAAGATATTAATCCATTGGGTAAGAGTT